AGAGAAAGAGAGAGGAATGTAAAGAGAAAATCCTTGTCTCTGTGACTCCGTGAGAACATTCCAGAATAGTGATTCATCCTGAAAGCCACAGCCAGCTCCCAACGTAAGCATCTGGCAGGTCCCATCAGGACCCACCTACCAGGGGAGCATTGGCCCTCTGTCACTCAGCTGCCAATGCCACAGCCGAGTGGCACCAGCTCCTTCCCAGCCGCACAGGACTGGGGCTGGTGCCAACTCAGGGATGCTCATTGGCGGTGCTCACCGGAGACAGTGCAAGGCTTGAGAGAAGCACGCGAAGACCCAAGAGCAGATCTAAAGGCAGAGATGCAGAGCCAGGCGCTGTGTCCCTGGAAGGCCTGCCCAGGAGCTCCTGGTGGCTTGGGACCTGCCCTGGTCTCCTGTATGTTGTGCTCACAGAGCTGCCTTCTCTCTGAGTGACTGCTGTGCGCATGCTCCCAGAGGACCGGGCTGCCAGCCCACTTCCCAGGAGGTCCGTCAGGAGTCGTGCCCAGGACCTGAGAGCCTGTGCCCACAGCAGCCTTGGTACTGAGGCACTGGGCAGAGCAGCTCAGAAGGGGCAGGGGGTTGGGGTATGTCAACAAGGGCATTGGGGGGGAGGGACAGGTACCAGGGATTGAACTCAGGGCCCGAACCGCTAAGCCACACCCCATGGCCCTATTTTGTATTTTGAGACAAGGTCTCACTGAGTTGCCTAGTGCCTCATGGTTGCTGAGGCTGGCTTTGAACTCTGATGAGATCCTCCTGCCTCAGCCTCCCAAGCCGCTGGGATTACAGGCATGCACAGTGCTAATGACGTTTTGGAACAACATAACATTTCACATTTATGTATTCGAAGCTATTTTCAAGCTATTATATAAGTAGGCATAAATAAAGTCATACTGTACATTGGAATCCGGTTGAAATCAGTTTTAGACATGTGGTAGTTTTCTACCAGCCCCCCAAAAGAAAACTGAAAAGCCGCATAGGTACAGAGCAGCGGGTGCACTTGTAAACACTGAAGCACAGCAAATTTGCTAGTGAACTTACAAGTGCTTCCCAGATAAATAAAAAGCCCTTACAAAATAAGTTGGCATCATTTCATGTAAGATTCGCCTTGCCATGGCACCTGCATTCCTAGAAAGTATGCAAGATACTAATCAAAGTGAAAGGGGAAGAATGTTTTCACAGGTACCCCCCACTCGTTGCACGTAAAACACAGCCCCCAGCACCCAGCACCCGCCAGCAGGACGCATGGGCCAGGAGTGCAGCTGCCCAGGCGCCGCGCTCCGCCGGCAGGGGGCAGGCGCGTCCGCGCGGC